GTTGTGACCGCTAATTAAAGAGTCTTGGAGCTTGCTTCTCGCCCTGACAAATGCAGAGTTTTGGTGGCTTCTGGTGCTGCTGCTGGCTGCTAGGGAGAGCGAGTGGGGCGTAAATGTTACACTTGCTCCATCCGCAAGTGTTATAATAAGTTATTCAGAGCTCTTAGCACAGGACCAGCCAGAGCGTGCCTCCCTCTCAGTTCCAGCACGTTTTCCTGCCCATCAGATGGATGCTCCTCTGTTGGGAGTCTTTGGAAGGTTCTGGTGTCTTTTGTTTTAATTGGCGGGCTCGAGCTGACTCCTATGGTGTGATTTTCATTAGAGAGGGGCTGGAGAGAAGGGGAGTGTTGGAACAGTCCTCCAAACCCAACCATGAATATTAAACATAATACAATTACAGCTTTCAGACCAATTTTTTTTTTAAATTCTTTTCATCGGGCAAAGTTGATGAAATGCATGGCGGCTGAGGATTCACCGTGTCCACCATGGGCTTCTTTGTGTCCCTGGAATCAGTTGTCTTGGCATGTCTGTGCCCGTTCACTGCGCTGTTTCCCCCTGTTAGGCATTTGATTTGTGTGCCGAGGGTACACGCTCTGCCAAGGAGCGCTGCCGTTCAGGTTGGGGCCACGGAAGGTCCATGGGGACTTCCCGCCTGGTGGCTGTCTCTGTCAACCAGAGACCGGAGCCTTGCCTCTCTAAGGAGGTGTCTTCTAAGTGCTTTCCTTTCTCCCTACGGGGAGAAGTTCGAGTCTGTTTTTGGCCCATCTTTGTTTTCCTTAGTGATATAATACACTGATGTGGTATCTTCCAGTGTATTTATGTTTTGTTTGGAGCCATCCATGCTGGTATCTAAATACAATAGGAAAACAGATGGCAAACTTTGAACTTCTGGACCAAATTTGTGTTTGCCTTTGTCTCCTTAACAGCCAAACTGTAAATGATGGGAGTATAAATATTCAACAGAGGAGCTCTTTATGAAAATCACCAGAGCAAAATAGACCCTTATTACCCAAATATGCACTGAGAAGTACTCGAGCTAAAAATTCCTCCCTCCCCCTCATCCTTTTCTGGTTCCCATTAGTAGGACACGCAGCTGTAGCCTGCAGGCAGAATTCCCTTCACAGCAGCTTTACCTTCTCTCCCCTCTTACCCACAAATGCCCAGAGATCAGTGTCTCCAAATGCTCTTTGTCCTCACACTCGCTCTGCCTCTCTCTGGTCACTGACCCCCTCACTGGGAAGAGGGACTCGGGGGGAGGAGGCTGACGGAGCTCTGTCGTCCAGCCGACAGCTGGAGGCAGCCCTGGACCTCGCCTCTGTGTCCTAAGACACGAGGTTTTTAAAACCCTGTGTGATTTGAAACAGAACACCTACGTGGAAGTGTATACAGGGTATGTGGTGTAGAATTTAGAGAGCAACCGAATGCCTGGGCATTTCCCCCAGCACAGGCAGGCACTTAGGAAACAGCATGACCAGTACGTGAAGGCCCGGTGACGGCCCCAGGAGCCCCTCCCAGTCCTAAATGAGTTCGTTTCTTCAACAGCTTGGCTGTGTCTAGAATAAGAAGTAAAAGCTGCCTTTATTCTCCTCATTCCTCCTTGATGCATTACCTGTTCATTATGTCCTTCTGGAATTTTATCTTTAAAAGTCTTTTAAGAGAAGTCATCTACACCTTTAAAATTTAATTCAAAAGCACAAAAAAGAATATATGGGGAAAAGTTGTCTCCTGGGAGTATCTCTGCTCAGAGGAGGCTGGGTAGCTGCATTCTCCGGAAAGGGCCTTCACAGTTAGGTGGGTGCAGCCGCCCCCCGCACCCGACCTGGCACATAGCTGGGCCCGGGCGCCTGGGGCGTGGCGGTGTGTGGGTGACGGCGGCCCTCAGTCCGTGTCATTCTCCTCATCCTCTCCTGCCTATGCAGGCCTCCATCATGCCTGTACGGACGCACTGTCACGGCCTCAGCTGATAGAGGTAGGTAACCTGTGTGCACCATTGAGTCTCAGATTCATGACAATGCAAAAACGATGCTCTAATAATCATAACATCTTTTTGTCTCAAGTTGCTTTTAAGACCTCTCTTTTTTTGTGTGTTTGGTTTCCCACTTTACGATGATACTCTTTGATATGTATCTCTTTTTAAGTTATTCTGATTAGTGTTCATGAGTGTTAGTATGCCCGTCTTTCATTCTGGGAAAACATCAGCCATTAACACTTCGAATAGTGCTTCTTTGCCATACACTGTATTTTCTCCTTATGGAAACTTCTTTGGGGCATAAATAAGCTGGACCGTCCGCTCCCATCCTTCCTGTCTCTTAACCAACCCTTCATTCACATTTTGCATCTGCTTCTCTCTCCGTGCTCCATTCTAGGTAACTTTTCAGATTTATTTTCTAATTTATAAGTGCTTTGTCTAATCTACTTCTAGACTGTCTAGCGATTTTAATTGCAGGATTATGTTTTTGTGTCTAGAAGTTCTATACTGCTTTTTTGTGAAGCAACTTCTCAATACTCTCATTTGGGTGGACCCCAGTCTTGGTCCTGTGGTGCAATAAGAGCCAGGCCCACTGCTTCCTGTGATTGGACCTGCCTTCAGCCTCACCCCTACCACACATGCCTACAGGCACCAGACACCGCAGCTCAGGCTCTCCAGACTGGTTTTCTAGAAGGGTCCTAGGGAGGTCAGTTGTTCCGTGAGTTCATCAAGGCATTTAGAAGGATATAGTTACATCTTACCCAGCAATACTAAGTGGTGGTTACTGGGATGGTCAGCAGGTACCTGAAACAGAAGCCTCATCTTTGCTACTAAAAAAGCGTTATGGCTAATGGCCTTATATATATGTGTATGGATATACACATATGTTAGATGTGTTGTTCTTTAGTTTGCTAAGCTGTGTCTGACTCTTTGTGACCATGTGGACTGTAGCCCACCAGGCTTCTCTGTCCATGGGGTTTTCCAGGCAAGAATACTGGAGTGGGTTGCCAGTTCCTTTTCCAGGGGATCTTCCCAACCCAGGGATCAAACCCAGGTCTCCCGAATTNAATGTTTTTAGAAAGGCCTGCCTATCTTGAATGTTTTTAATTGTTTTCAATTCTCAGAGTCCTCTATAGTTAGTTTTGGTGGGTAGAGCTCCATGTTGAGAAAGTTACTATAAGGCATTTTGTCTTTAATTGCTAATTTAAGTGGGATCTTTTCTTGGAAGGAAGGGGCACTGCAAAACGAAAATGAATTTCTTAGGTATTGTTTATTTTTTATTTTACATACAATGCAACTATACACATCAGCCGTTGACTGTAATGTCCTAAACCTCCCTCGCACTCCTGTAGGTTGTCACAGAGCACTGGGTTGGTTGGGCTCCCTGTGTGTCAGTGTATTAAATGTACTAAAACTGACATGTAAAAGTGTAAATCATGGGGTGGTTTTTTAATTGGAATATTTGATTTATACTTTTTACATGTGGCCTTTTTTTCCTGACAAGTTTTATGAAACATGTAGTACACTGTACCTGTCTCATCATTATCAAGTACTCTCAGCTAATGCCTTTTGCTCTGAAATCTATCTTTTCAGGTATTAAAATTGTCACCTCTCTTCCTTGTCACATGCAAATGTGCCTTTGATGTACAGTATATATTGAGTTTTGCTCTGTGACTGTTGGAGGCTCTTCCTCCTAAGAGGTGGGTTTGTCCTTGTCCTGTGAGTCTAGCTGACACGTTAGGTCTTTCTCTGCTGTCTGTGATGCTCATACCTCACTCTGTGGGGTGGGGGTGGGGGCTCCTCACTGTCCTGATATTTTGCCACCCGTTTCTTTCAGAGAGTATCCATGGGTAGCTCACTTTGAGTCCTTTTCTGGTAAAAATTTTTTTTTAAAGTCTTCATTATGCCCTCAAACTTGGTAAGTAATGCAGTATAGAATTTCCAGTATTTCAACTGGAAAAATTTCAAATTATTTCAAATTTCCCCTCAGAATGCTGGAAGTAGTCTGTGTGCGTGTGCGCTCATACAACTGTAAGAGGCTAGGACCTGGAACATATTTGAGTTCTTCCTTTTCCCCACGTTCTCCGTGTGGGACACGTTTGTCCAGCTCCCCTGCCAGCTGGTGGCATCTGTTCAGGGCAGCACTAGTCTCTTCCTTGGTGGTGGAAATTCAGCACGTACTTGTATAGAAAGTAATTTTTAAAGATGTTCTCAAATTCAGATTATTACAAGGTAGGTAATTATCTCAAGACTTTGGATAAGCAACTCCCCAGTGTCGACATATTCTCATCATGATTCTCTTATGCTTAGTCAACTATGGATCCGTCCCCTTTCCAAATTTCAACAAGACACTGATGAACCATACACCACTCCACCCGAAAAGGGCTGTTTTTCGGGTGAACTGGGTACTGGTTCAGGCTGCAGACAAATGTAGCTGTTTTACATCTTGCCCTTAACAGTCTTGTATACAAACAGCAAAACTGCCATGCTGGGCTTCTCGGGCCGACGTCCCCATGGAGGCAGCATGCCAGTCAGGTCACAGCCTCCTCTCCGTGGGCTGCTGTCCAGGACAGCTGGTATCTGTGTCCTTGTTCTGTGCTTTGATCTTCGCTGGTGGCTGAGAGTAAAGAATCTGCCTGCAATATGGGAGACCCAGGTTCAACCCCTGGGTTGGGAAGGTGCCCTGGAGAAGGAAATGGCAACTCACTCTAGTATTCTTGCCTGGGAAACCTCATGGACAGAGGAGCCTGGCAGGCTACAGACCACTGGGTCGCAAAGAGTCGGACATGACTGAGAGGCTAACTTTTCTGTACTTTGAGTAGGTGTGGGTACTCTAAACTATGTCATTTCTAATGCCCTGTAGCCTCCTGTGAGAGTACACCATGGAGGTGAATGTTTACTGTCCGTATTTGGACATTTGTAAATAAAGGGGTTTCATGTTCCTCGTCTTCATAGGGTTGCTGTGCACAGATGAGGAATCTGTCACCTCGGGCTCTGATGCTAATTTCTCTGCTCACCTTGGGCCTTGCAGGGTGAGGATCCACGACCTCCGCACCGACAGCATCGCCCTGTCCATCTCCGCCCACCAGCTTGGAGTTTCCGCGGTCCAGATGGATGACTGGAAGATCGTCAGTGGAGGCGAGGAGGGCCTGGTCTCCGTGTGGGACTACCGGATGAGCCAGAAGCTGTGGGAGGTTCACTCCAGGTAGGCTGGCCCGCAGGTGCTGCGGTGGTGATGGTGTCATCCAGCTGCAGAGGCAGGCACTTCCCTTCGCAGAGTGTCCTTGCTGTGATCCTCTGAGCCAGCCCCTGAGATCTCTGGAAATGGGCTCAGAACTGGAGCTGGTCACTGCTGCCTGTTCAGACAGCTACCACCTGGCTCGGGTAGAGACCGTGATGGGACAGACCCCCATCCTCCACTCCAGGGAGTATTGCCACTTCACACTGAAAAATTCAGGTTCAACCAAGGAGGAATTTGTGACTTTGACCTTTAGCTCTAAAATTCAAGAGACACATACTCTCCCAAGCAGAGCAGATGGCTAGGTAAAGGGATACTAAGGGGGCCTCCCCTGTTAAACATCTTGAGCTTGCTTCTAACCTTTAAAGCAGAGGTGGCCTTGCCTGAGCAGAGGTCAGCTGGAGCTGACTCGAGGCTGCCACCTCGCCCACACCCACCCACCCCGAGTTTTCCATCAGCGCCGCGGTGACGAGATGCTCTGGGGCAGGGGTTGTGTGTGCAGGTAGGGCAGAGCATCCATGCCTGAGGCTGCAGAGGCGTGCCCACGCCAACTGCATGAGGAAGTGAAGACTGCTCACAGGTCTAGGTTAAGTACAAGGTAAAAAGAGGATGGGCTTGCTTTCTTGCTGGGCAGCGATAGCCGGTGCTTGGCCGGCAGCGTTCTCAGCTGGGGTGCCTGCCATCCATGGGGATGCACTGAGTTGCCACCAGGTGGTGCCAGAAGGCAGCAAATGCCCGCACCGTGGCCGCCCAGAACTGTCTCCGGTAAGGACAGCCTTTACTTTTTTCTCAAGAGCTGTCTCAGCCTGGCCGCTGCCCCCAGCAGCTCCGGTCAGCCCACAAGGACTGCCCTTGGGCACAGCTCATTTCTCTCTCCCTGAAAAGCTCTTCTCCCTCGGGTGGATCGTTAAGGTGAAGCCAGGGTAAGTAAGGTTGTGCCCAGCACTGTGTCCTGCCCCACCTTCCTAGCTCGTTTGTGATGCCTGTCGGTTCTCACCAGTGCTTAGCATTTGTCCCAGAGAAGGTCTCAAAGCCTTGTTTACCAGCGCAAGGCTGATCCCACGCAGTCTGCCGGGGATTCTCAGACTCAGTCCAGTCCTGGCGGCCAGTGCCCCATGCCCACTGTTCTCAGTCTCCCACCCCATTGCCCACCACAGCCACACTCCCCAGGTCCCCCTGCCCCTCCTCAGCCAGCCAGCGGCATGCCTGGGACTGAGCCCCGACCTGTCCCCTCCCCGTCCTCCTCTCTCCTTTGCTCTCCAGCCCTCTTGCCTCGCTGGGCCCTAAGCGAAGTTCTCCAGGAACACTTTCTGTCCAGTCGGCACCACAGACCCTGGACTCGGGAACCCTGTCACCACCTTAAGAGGATCCTCGGCTCTGGCCAAGATGCCTGTCCTGCCCCCAGCCATCTCCGGGGCAGGGACACCCCCTCAGCCCTTCTCAGAGGGCCCAGCTGACAGGCCAGAGTCTACTGGGCCTAGAAGACCCCTGTAGTCTCTGCTGGCGTCTCCTGTTTCTCCTCCCAGTGCTGAACTGTGTCTCATCTTGTGGCTTATAACGTCTCTGGTGCTCTGGAAACACTGGCTGCTTTTCAGGGGCATAGAGCCCACCTTCTTGTATTAGACAGCTTTTCTACCCTATGTCTCCTGGCCCATTGCTCCACTGGAGGAAGTTTTTCTAAATGAACAAAGTCTTTGCTACATAGGTTTTAAGCCACTTTGTTCTTAGACGTTCTGAATGGGCTCTCACAACCCAGAGTACAGCCCTCTGAGAGGGGCGGAAGGGGAGTCCTGTCCTGAGGGTGGCCGGGGGCGGGGCAGGCGTCTTGGCCAGAGCAGAGGGTCCACACAAGAGTAAGGAGTTGAGGGGCATCCTGAGTCCAGGGCCTGGCGGGGCCGCCATGGCCAGCACCGGGCAGACCCTGCAGATGGGGAACCCGGCCCAGGCCAACCCGTGAGAGAGACTGTTCTTCACCACGGGTGTCCGAGTTGTCTCAGGTTATTTGTCCTTTTACGTCCCAGCGCGCCAGGTGCTGGAGCGTTAGCCAGAGAGCACAGGACCATGGAGACGCATGTACAGAGTAGGCCCAGCGTGTGGCCTGGCCAGACACTGGCCCTCGGGGGGCCCAGTTTCCTCCACTGTGAAGGAAGAGCCTGGCTTAGACGGCTCTGGAGCCCTGTGCAGCTCCACACTTGTGAGGCCCTCGTAGCAGAGGTAGGACGTGAGTTCCCACGGGCTTACCCTGACGAGCGTCCCCATGTGTTCCAGACACCCTGTGCGGCACATCTCCTTCAACAGCCACAGCCTCATCACGGCCCACGTGCCCTACGAGCGGGTGGTGCGCAGCGCCGACCTGGACAACTTCGCCACCCACCGCAGGTCAGCGCTCGGGCGGGGGTTGGTCTGGGTGTGTAGGTGTTCAGCCTGATTTTTGTTACTAAAACAGCCCGGGCCACCTTGTTCCCTGCAGGGCGTACCCTCAGGCATGGCTGTTCTTTTCATTGAAGTCAGGGACAGACACATAGGTGTGGCCAGTAACACGGGCTGACTGCCTGCTGCAGCTGGATGCTTCGGGGGTGGGGAGGTGAGGGGCACAGCGGGGCTGTGGCCACACCTGCCTGGAGCCCAAGCCTAAAGGCTTAAGATGGTGTTAGAAGCCTAGCGACAGTGCCAAAGCCCAGTCCTCACACCCAGTCGAGGCTGCCACGCTGGGGGCTCAGAGGCCCTTCTTACTACTGTTGGCCTGGCTCCCTGCCCAGCTGGGTGCCTCTCCACACTCAGTTCCCTCCATCAAACCTGTCTGCTCACCTCTTCATCTCTGGGCGCGGGATTGGAGTGTCGCACACACTGGGACATTCGTCATGAATGGCTGTCTCGAGCAGACGTCACAGGGGAGGGGGCTGGGCCCTGGGACTGACCGTGCTTTCTCTGTGCTTTCTCTAGACACCGGGGGCTGATCCAGGCCTATGCGTTTGCAGTGGACCAGCTGGCCTTTCAGAGCACGGTACCCATTTGCCGCTCGTCCTGTGATGCCATGCCGGGTTACAACTACGACCTCGCACTTGCCTTCCCCCCTGACAGTATTTAGGGAAGCGCTTCACTGGCGAGCAGGAGGGGCACCGCATGGGGCTGTAAGTGTTGGGGAGAAGAGCAACCCCAGGGCGCACTGTGTGACCCCCCCACATCCCTCTGCGCCTTTGCTTTCCCCGTTGCTGGGTTCTCCCTGCATCATTGTGTACACTGCACAGAGGTCTTCACTGTAGCTCCCAGGTGAGGCCCTGTGGCACCCCCCTCCAGCACACTCACCCTCTTTCCAGTCTCCAAACTCCTTCTTCTTTGGGTCTTTGGGGGGGGGCCTTTGGATACGCTGGTCTCTGAGCTGACAGGGCCTCATCAGCCACCCAGCTCTTGGATCTGAGGTCACGAATTCAACTCTGGGTCGTCCCCAGTCTGGGAGGATAGTCCTTTATCCTGGTAGCTTTTGATTTATAATTATATATTTGTACAATGATTTCATTAATAACTTTTGCTTACTACGATGTCTGTAACATGTGACACAAAGTAGACATTTTCTACATACTCATGAATAAACAGCTGTCCTCCACCTAGGGGGAAGATGATGGATTCTGGAGTAGAGAATGAGAAAAGGGGATAATACTGGAGGAGCCGTTACATGTTAACCCACTGAGATAAGACAGGGTAACACAAGAGACCTGTTCATGCTGATAAATAGCTTCCATTTCCGTAAGATTAAGAGGGCAAACCATTGCATTCCTCTTGATTTAAAGACTCTTGTAACCAGCAGCCACCTACCTTATCTACAAAATATCCAAGCAGAAAAACTGATGGAACTAAACAGAGAAATCCATGCTCATGGTGGGTGGTCAGATCAAATCAGTAAAAATGTGTAAGGATTTGGAAGACATACTTAATATAATTTATAAGCTCAACACAGTGGCTGTAGATAGGATTCTGTACCTTTTCAGATACCCACAGGCCACACACAGATGGAGGCCACAGGAGCAGCTCGGATTAGACGAAGAGCAGCACCAGCAGACAGGCCCAGTCCAGTGCCCCAGGTCCCAGTGGGTTCCAGTCAGACTTCAGCAGAGTGCTAAGCAAAGACCTGGGAACTCCAGGCGCTCCTGCATTAACTTAGGATTTTTATAGTTTTAATTGGAGGATAACTGCTTTACAACATGGGGTTGGTTTCCACTGTACAGCAACATGAATCTGACTTGTTTTTAAAGAGGGAAATAAAAACGGAAACCAGGAAGGGAGACAGTAGAAGCACTGACCATCAAGACCCAGGGGGTGAGGCCAGAATGGGACAGGGTTACCTTGTGACTTAATGGAAAACAAGACAAGAAATCAGTGCACTAAGCAGACACCTCAGAAAGCTTAAGAGGTCCTAGTGATCCCAACAAAAGGAAGGAGCTAAGGATAAGAACACTAATGAACTAGTGTTTAAGCGTTAGTGGCTCAGTCGTGTACCACTCCTTACAACCCTATGGATGGCAGCTCACCAGGCTCCTCTCTCCATGGGCTTCTCCAGGCAAGAATACTGGAGTAGGTTGCCGTTCCCTTTTCCAGGGGCTCTTCCCAACCCAGGGTCTCCTGAATGCAGGCCGATTCTTTTCCATCTGAGCCACCAGGGAAATCTCATGAACACTAACAAATAGTGAAGTTGATCCTAAAGCCAAAAGCAGTTTTTTAAAAAGATGAAATATACAACTGTTGATAAAGGTTTTAAAAAAGAAGACCCAAGGGACTATCAAACAGAGTAAGTATATTTTCAGTGTGGGGATAATTTGCCTGCACTGATCCAAGAGCAAAGTGCAGCTTTCCTGCTGTTGACAAGCATATACAGATGGTTGGGAAACACACCATTACCTGGAGTCCTAGAACTTTTGAATCCTGAGGGTTGTGGAAGGCTTTTTTATGTTTTCAGATTAAGGTCCTCGTTCATAAAAGATGCACATCCAGCTAGAGAGGATGACAGGATCAGAGAGAGAGTGGCTCTGGGACCCGTCCCTCCTCCCGAGAGCGCGGCTGTCCTTCCCGGGAAGGCGGCTGTGTCAGTGGAGGTTCCTGCTTCCCTTCAGAAAACCCCATTACTTCCCAAATGAAGCTGGCCTGCAGCCGGCGGATGACACATGTACTGTACTGGACTCTCACTGCTCTGACCCCCAGTGACATTGTTGCTACATGGCTTCCATCTCTCAGTCTTGACACTGGGGAAAGTCCTTTTTCCTTTAAGCAGCAGCTCTCTTGCAGTCTGATTTCAGTTCATTTTGCAGATACAGTCTCCCTCTTAGTTTTGCAGGAATTAAGGATAATGAAAGAGTTCAACAGAAATTAGACCCAGAAAATTTTACTGAAAATAAAAAGTTTTCAGCTGCTTTGATTCACTGCTGGTCCAGGGCAAAGTGTTGACAAGCACGGGGTTTTTCCTTCCTAGCCTGTTGATAACATCTACCGTCAATGAAAACCACCCGGGCTTTGTTTCCTGGACCCAAACTATAATCTCCAGGCACGTCGAACTCCGTCAACATTTTTTTGCAGTAAACCTTATGTCCCTGAAGAGGTCACCCTGATGGGGAAAGGTTCAGAGTTCCTTTGTGAACAACCACTTTCCATGGCTTCAAGAAATCTTGGCCCACGTCCACCCCATCTGCTCACCCCACCTTACCTGTGTCCCCGCTGGCTGTTCTGTNGGCCACTAGATGGCGCTGCCGCTGCCCAGGGAGTGATTTCATCTGAAGACACATCCTAGGTCCACATCATCTTCCCCTGCAAGGAGACAGCCTGCCCTAGCTGACTGGATTCAGCTGATTCAAGGAAAACACAGTGTCCCTAAGAGTGGAGTTCTGGTCCAAGTCCTCCGTACCCTCCAGAGCCAGGGTGCCCTCTATTTGAGAGAACAGTGCATCTCACTCCGCATTGGGATGGCAAACACTGGCCACAGCGAACCCACCCTGCTCACCATCAGAGAGAAGTGGCCTTCTGGTGGGGGATGCAGCCTTCTCTTACTGGGGCCTGTCAGGACGGGCAGGTCCACAAGGGTGGCACCGGGGGCTGCTCACCTTCCCTGACTCGCCTTCGCTTTGCACAGCAGCTGCAGCATCTGGGAGTGCACGGTGCCAGCCACCAGGCCCTGGTGCCCCAACCACACGGACCTGCTTGCCTCACCTGCCGCCAGGCCAGATGGATCCCTGGCAGCTGTGCAGGGCCCAGGGTGATTTGGACAGCGCGGCCTGGGGTGGGCAACGGCAGGGCCCCCCTCACTGGGCTCCAGCTGGTGCCACGTGGGCGCCAACCTGCTCTCTCCCTGCCTCTGCTGCTGGGCGGGGGCTTCCAAGCAGAAGCTCCACCGGGGAACTTCTCTACCCCTAGAATGGGCGGGCAGGCTCCCCCCACATCCAGAGTGGAGCTTGTCCTGATCTTCCCTCGCCCAGCACCAGTGCGAACGCCCCCCTCCTGGATTCCTTAGAGGGAGGCGCCCCAAGCTGCTCCTCTGATGACGCATCCGCCCACCTGACCGCTTGCCCCATGGACTTTTCTCGGGTAAAGACGGGAAATTCAGTCCCTGCTGACCTGGTCCACCAGTGGGTTAGGAGGAAGAGCAGCCACCACATGCCCATCAGAGTCCTCAGTCCTCCTGGGGGCCAAGTTCCTCCAGCCACTGAATCCCTCCTGGCATTGGTCACCGGTTCCGGAAGAGCCCAGAGACAAAGGCAACACTGACACCCCGGGAGGTGATGGTGACAGCCCCAGCTCCTCCCACTCAACTCTCCAAGGCCTCCCCAAGGTCACGGTGTGGGAGGACAGCTTGCAAGGCGGGTGTCTGCAGAACCCTTGCCAAGGCAACTTGTATTTTTAACTATCAGCCTACGTTAAGTCACTATGCTGTGTGCGGTTGAGCTTCAGCCTGGTGAACCCTGGGCGGCAGAGATGGGTTCACCTGCTCAGTGACAAGCATCAGATGCATACATGAACCTGCCTCCCATTAGCAAAGCACATAAAGAACATCCCCAGCCCCTGGGGTCAGAAAATAATCAAACTGCTGAAGTTTAGGCATAACTCAGTAACTTGTTCCTTCAGAGGGTGCTCGGCCAAAACTAGAAGCTCCTGCCATCTTACTCCATTCCTTTATCCATAATTCATGTTAACGTGGCTGCAGGTTTCCCTTGAGCTTCTCATATTAGATTTCCATTACATAGCCCTTTTGTAAACCTACCACATGGCCGTGTTTGTGTCAAATTGCTGTATTCTTCTAACAGCCAAAAGCAGAGTTCTGGTAACATTTTCTCCTTTGGTAATATGGCAACATTGGACTAGATCCTGCCTTCATCCCAATTCCTGGGAAGTGGGTGGAGAATGTGGAGAGAGGTGACCTCACCCTCATCCTGCAACCCTGGGGTCAGAAAATAATCAAACTGCTGAAGTTTAGGCATAACTCAGTAACTTGTTCCTTCAGAGGGTGCTCGGCCAAAACTAGAAGCTCCTGCCATCTTACTCCATTCCTTTATCCATAATTCATGTTAATGTGGCTGCAGGTTTCCCTTGAGCTTCTCATATTAGATTTCCATTACATAGCCCTTTTGTAAACCTACCACATGGCTGTGTTTGTGTCAAATTGCTGTATTCTTCTAACAGCCAAAAGCAGAGTTCTGGTAACATTTTCTCCTTGGTAATATGGCAACATTGGACTAGATCCTGCCTTCATCCCAATTCCTGGGAAGTGGGTGGAGAATGTGGAGAGAGGTGACCTCACCCTCATCCTGCAGGCTGTGGACACGTCCCTGCTCCATCTCCTCCACCCACAGCCTGAGGCCCTCAAAGCACTGACTTCAAATATTTGATTTAGCATTGATTAATCATGAGTATAATTCCCAATAAGAGGAAAGCTGTAAAACAAGGGCATTTGTTCTACAACAGGCAAATTAAGAAATCAACAGACACATCACCTCAGGTGGGGGCAGAGCTACACTCACTCTGGGTCTCTGCAGCCAGAAAGCCCCTCCTGGGCACACCCACCAGTCCAGCCTGTCACAGAGGCCATGCCAAGACTCGTGCCCAGGGCAGTGACCCTCGTCCTTTCCAGTCAAAGGCCAGCAGACTGTGGGGAATAACCGCCCTCCCCAGGAGTGGGTCTGCCCTAACAGCCGATCCCGGATCACTCCCTGAATGACCAAATGAGTGAAAACACCACCTCACAAACCGTGCCCTGGGAGCCCCAGGCCGACTCTGGCCTGCCTTCTGGTGGAAGTCAGTCAGACTCCCTCAGTGACAGTGGGATGTCAGCATGCTCTGGGGCAGCACAGACCAGGCTCGGGGTGAATAAATCCCTTTCTCATTAGCAGTTTAGGTAAGCCGTGGCCAAAGCTCCAAAGACATGCAGCTGGCCCTTGGTGGTCTGAACAAGTACAAACACACACTGTGTGCCCAAAGTGGCCATGCTCCCAAATGCAGGCTGGGCAGGTGGAAGGTCTGTTGTTTACAAAAACACCACATTCATGAACTGCCTCTGTTGAGAAGATGACGACTGAAGCAAATGGAGAATCCCAGAAAATCCAGCCCTCACTGGCCACACCAGCAGGCCTGCTGCTCAGAGACTCCGCAGGCCCCTGGTATTCGTGCTAGGTGGGGAAGGACTCAGCGGGGCCTAGGGGCATGCATGCTTCGGCCAGGCTGCGGGCGTCTCACTGGAGACCTGTCCTGGATGAGCGCTAACTAGCACTTACCCGGGACCAGCTCTCCCAACTGCAGGTCTTTCTAAATTCCTTCTGCTGGCAGCCAGATCCCAGCAACAGGGGGAGGGGGGAGGGGTGTTGGAGTCAGGGGTGGGGGCAGTCACACCCCAGTCTCCCACACAAATGCTGGCACCGGGAGGGTAAGAAGCAGAGGCCTTGATCTTTGCTCCTAAAATGTCAAAACATTTGTGGAATTCAGCACTAAGTAAGCAAATCCAAAAGTATGGCACTGGGAACGACATCCAGTCTCCTGGGAAAAACCATAGTGGGAAGGAATATACAAAAAGGATGTACGTATGTACGTCTAACTGAATCACTTTGCTATACAGCAGAAATTAGCACAATTTGTAAATCAACTATACTTCATTAAAAAACCAAAAATCAATAAAAATTACAAAAAATAGCAGAGCTCCAAAAGTGACTCCACACAGCTCTCGACTCACCAGAGATGGAGATGGGGTGGTGCCGTCCCGGCTGCCGGTCTGTGCATCGAGGTCCATGGAGCCGGCGTTCCTCAGGCCCTGCCGGGGTCAGAGGTCCCACATGGCCCCGCCACGTGCTCCCCAGGACTGGAATGCCCATGTCAGCACTCACTGTCTGAATAAGGAGGGCTTCCCAGCTCCACCGCCGCCCTCGGACGCAGGCTCCTCAACTCTGTGCTAGGTGGTTACGCTTCCCTTCATTGCCTCGTGGCCCTGTTTCGGCTTCAAAATACCAACATGCACCTCGTCCTAAGCAACACATCTGCTTGTGTTCGCCTTACACAGCTCCGGGGGCGTGTAGACCAAGCGCTGGGTGTTGGATGAAGGCTCCGGGGCATGCCTGTTATGTTCTGAACCCTAACATGTGAGTGTAAGATAGATAAAAGATGCTTAATACCAAAACTGAATTGCAAATTTAAGAGCACAAAGAAAAATAGCAGTAACCAATGATCAGGGGAGCTTTCCTAGAAGGCTAGGAAGGTATCTTCCAGTAGGTGTCACTGACAGGGACCACCAGGAAGCGGAACGTGACCAGAGACCACAGTGCTGCCCGAGTGAGTCAGCAGGTCCCCAGGGCACCACCAAAGGCCAGCCCTATGCTGACTCACTGGCCACAGCCACCGCGCCAGCTGAACTACTGTGTTTCCCCCTTGCCTCACCCTCCACTGCCAGCAGGTGACAACCGGAGGTGTGGGAGATGCTTACCTGGGCCGGTGGCCTCCCCAGCTGCTGCTGTGCTGGGGACCACGGGGTACAGGCTGTGTGGCTACCCCGGTCCTCAGGCTGCACCCCCTCCAGCACCACGGGGTGAACTTAGGTGGTCCCCTTGGCTGGGCCTGCTCAGGTCTTCTCCTTGGGTCTGAATATTGGGTCATGACACCCAGGAATCCTCCTGACCCTCCCAGCCCCCACGGAGGAGCTGAAGACTGAGGAGGCAGATGAGTTCCCAGCACTTGGTGTCGGGAAAACAGCAACCTGTTAACCCCAAATACACCAGACAGGAAGGGAGGAAAAAAATTCCCCTGCAAACCAGCCTTTGAGATTGAGCAACCTAGCTGCTACTGCTTGCTCCTTGTGGTCAACCTCTGGGCCGCCAGATGGCCAGGTCGCCTGCGTGGACGTGGGAAACAGACAGGAGCCACGCTCATTACCAAACCCTTTTCCTTTTTTATTAGAGATAAAAACAGCAAAGTCCCACACACCATACCCTGCAGGAAAAGGAGACGAGCGAGGCGTGTCGGCTATTTACAATAAGGGCTGCAGCAATCGGGCCCCCCGTGCAGCCCAGGTCCCAGTGCAGACGCTCCGTGGGGGCGGGCGGTCAGTGGCACAGGGCGATGGTCTCCATGTTAAGGAAGCGGACGTGCATCTTGGTCTCGATGTCGATGCCCTGCCAGATCTGGAGCACGGACAGAGCAGCATAAGTGGGCATCCCCGCCCCTCAAGACCCCCGGCCACTTAGTGCCCGCCCACCGCGATGCCCTGCAGGTAAGATCCAGAGCGAAGTGCGGAACCTCTTCCATCTGCCTCTTTGCTGGTTAACTGGGCTCTGACATTCAGATTCTTTCTGGACTGTCACAGCAAGTTATTATTTAAGTGCTGAATCCAAGCTCCTAGCTGAAGTCACTCGAGCCACCCACCACCACTTCAGGCTCCATGATTTTCATGCAAATTCCTGAGCCCATTAAACCTCCTTTGCACCAGAAAGACCTGGAGACCACCACCTGTGCTGCCCACTCCGTGGTGGGGGCTCCCGTGGAATCCTGCACGGAAGCGGCTTGTAAAATGTTAAGGGCTGTGCAACTGTAAGATCTCATCAAGCCATCATCATTCATTCAAAGGTCGCGACAGTTAGGTCTTTATAACCTCCCAAGGATAGGTCACCGTGTTCCAGAAAGATAAACTCCTGCCCAGGAAAGGTGGTTTCTGCCAAAGACCACGTCTGTCACCACATACCTGGCACGGCCATCAGGGTCCATCCTGGCCAGGGCCCTAGCGGACACTCAGGCCACCAGACCCAATGCCGCACTACGAGCTCCAGCGCCCAGGACTCCTGCTCCTCAGCCACTCGGGCCCAAGAGGACCACGGATGGTGAGATAGCTGGAAGGATGCGGACAGGAACTAAGGGGTGTGGTGGCGGTGACTGGTCACCGTCTCCCTGATTATGTAAGAACTTCAGACTCTCACAGTGTCGCCCTCAACATCTCCAGGGACAGCCGCAAGGCTCGGGCACGCAGTCCTGTGGGCACCCAAGCCATAGGGAGGCCTCGGCACACTTTCGGCCACCGTCACGTGCCCACAGTCCCAGGCGCTTTCCTTGTTAGGTGGGCAGGGTGTTCCCAGGAAGAGAGGTCTGGATGCGCAGGGTGGTTTCTGCTAAATGCCAAGGTGATGAGAGGGTCGTGGGGGTGGGNGGCGCTTTCCTTGTTAGGTGGGCAGGGTGTTCCCAGGAAGAGAGGTCTGGATGCGCAGGGTGGTTTCTGCTAAATGCCAAGGTGATGAGAGGGTCGTGGGGGGGGGGGGGGGGACTCGGAGAACGGGAGCAGCCGGCTGATCGGGAAAAGCCCAGCGGCCACGGACTTGGGGCCCTGGAGGCGGGTGGGGCAGGGCTGGGAACAGACTGCTGGTTTTCTGAGGCCAAAAAGGATTTCATCTCGTCTTCTGGCTTAAAGCAGCATTCTTCCGCCCTAACCTCCCCTCGGCCTCCCTGTCTTCTCACCACTCACTCTGGTTCTTGCTTGGGTGTTACCACCTTTCCACATGCCAAGGTCACCCATGGCCCAAATGCCAGCTCAACTTCTGCCCGTCCACCTGCCCTGGGGGAATGGGCAGGGCACGTCTGAGAGGGAGGCTGACCTCCTCCAGCTCAGCAGGCCCTTCCCGTCTCTCCTTCAGGCCGGGTCTGTACCACCCACACCCCTCCTCATGTCCCTCTCCTCTTGCCATGACCGGCCAAGTTGGCGGCACAGACTTCGGGGGAGCCCCTCGGACAGGCTGCCCCTCGGCTTCCTAGAGCTTCAGCCATAGGGTGGGGGTTCCCAGCCCCGTCCTGGGCACAGGCCTGTTCCCAAAGGGCCGCCTGGGAGTGCTGGCAGCTGGCCCAGGAGCCCCTGGCTATCATTGCCCTAACCTCCCATCTTCCTCAGCTCCTTGAAGGGGTGCGGGGGCACCGCTGTTGGGATGCTCAGGGCCAAAGAGTGGGCAGAGCACCGGCTGGCTTGACTCCTCGCCAATCAGAGCATCCAGATTCCCAGTGTGCAGGCACGTTTGCAGCCATGAAGGCTGGGCGAGGCCTGAACGTCCACTAACCAGGGTGGAAGGTGGGCAGCTGGGCACACAGCACTGTCTGTGAGGCCCAGGAGGGCAGCAGGGCCGCACGTGGGCAGTACCAGTGCGTGCTGAGAAGAGCTGGGCTCACAGGCGTGGAACATTCCAGACCCTGGTTCCAACTGTCAACAGGGTGCTTCTGAGAAAGGGGACCAAGAACTTAATAGGGAGAAAAACGGAGCCTTCCTCAGAGGCCCTTTCGTACTTGCTAAGTTGTTTTGACTGTCTGTGACTATCATCACCCTTTAAATAAACATAAGTAAAACCAGTTTAAACCACTGTAAAGGCCACAACTCAGGCTAGACCCTGTTCCCTTGAGACGCCCATCTCTTCCTGACCAGCAGGGTCCCCCGCAAGCCCCCAGTGCAGCCCCCATGTCCACCCCCAATTCACAGGCACCCACCTTTAGGAAGTCATCGAAGGTTATCCCCTCATACACCTGATCAGGCTCCTGGGGACAGAGAACGGGGCGCAGTAAGTGGTTTCTGCCCAGAGACCCTCCACTTTCACCCTCTGACACAGAAAGGGGGGGTGGGACATGTAGGTAGGACCACGAGAACATTCTGGACTGTTCGGCTCTAGCTCGGGGCCAGTCACCTTGAACTCCGGCATCCCCTTGATGGCGGGGTGGAAGCTGGTGCAGGCCCACCCCCTACCTATGTCCCTGGGGAGGACAGGACCAACAAGGATGGGAAAAGAAGGGGGGTGGGGTGGGCACAGAGGCTGGGGCGGCCACCAACAGACACTCCGTGTCTTTTCTCCGTCCTGCCTTCTCAAACCAGGCTTGGCTGAGAGCAGCTCTGGGCTGACCGGTGCTCCAGACACTGGGGAAAGGGCCAAGGGAATGAAGGGCCAGCCAGCACGGCCCACCCCTCTCGCCCGTGAGTCAGCCTGATGGCATGGGGTCCAGGAGCCTCCCCTCCTGCGGGGTCACCTGTGCACATGGGGACGCACAACATGATAAGCGAGGCTCCTGGCCCTGATGCCGTTACGACTAAGTCCCCACGGCCCCCCGCCCACAGCGCCCTCCGTGCCCATGACAACCGGGCGGACATCCCACCGCCTGTCAACACGAGACCAGCCAAAGAAAGCGTGGTCGTCCAGGCTCTGGATTACCATGAAGGGGTCGATCCCAGATGGGCTAATACGGAACAGGCTCCAAAATACGTACCCGGTGGGGAAAAAAAAACAAACAAGGAGCAGAAAGACGTTTGCAGGCTGTTCCCTACACCACAGATGGCTGCCTCCTGCCCCAGGGACGTGAGGGGTCAGCACGGGGACGAGAAAGCCGGGGGACTTGAATGCCGTGTTGTGTGACTCAGAACTAGAAGACCCAGTGTGTGCATTGATCTGTGTCAGGAAAAACCCATCAAAGGCAGGTCTCTTTAGGGAGGAGGACCAGGAGAGAGACACTTCACTTTATGCACCGCTCTGAGATTCGTTCTGACGCGTAGTTAAAACACCAGGGACTTCCCTGGTGGCCCAGTGGTTAAGAGTCACCTTGCAATGCAGGGGACACCAGTTCGATCCCTGGCCCAGGAAGAGCCCACGTGCCACAGAGCAACTAAGCCCATGCATCACGATGACCGAGCCAGTGCTCTAGAGCCCCGAGAAGAGAAGCCACCACAAGTGAGAAGCCAGCACACCGCAACCAGAGAGTAACTCTTGCTCGCCGCAGCTAGAGAAAGCCCGCGTGCAGCAGCGAAGACCCAGCGCAGCTAAAAATAAACACGCAAACAATTCATTTAAAAAAAGAAGGAAGAAGACAGCAGCAGGCACTCTCCGTGTGTCTGCTACCAGTGTTTCACCAGCGTGATTACCGTGAGCTGATGTGAATCTCCCAACAGCCCCCTCAAGTGGGCTTTGCTCTTAATCTAATTTGGGATATACCTTTTAATTTTATGAAAAACGCCAGATTCTTAGAAGGCCTGGACCAGTCCTGTCCCCACGGCTGCCTGCTCTTCGTGACCAGCGTCAACAGACAGAAGCAGCGCTGCCCTCTGCCTGCCGCCCACCCCAGGTCCCTGGGGGCAGCCAAGGGGAGTGAACTATAGACGAGGCCCCGCGGGCCCGAGACCCAGCCTGGAGGGTGGTGCCCGGTGGAAGCAAGGCAGGCGGAGGGGCCGGGGACTCGGGGCAGCACCGGGGCCGAGACCCCAGGAAAGCCGGCCCGCCCTCCAGCCACAGGAAGGCTTCCCAGAGACGCACCCTGGAAAGATCCCAACCGCAGTGGACAGCCGGCCCTGGAAGTCCACGACGGTGGGCAATGCCTCGTCTGTCTTTGGCAGAAACGTCAGGTGTCCTCAGAGGCCACACAGTATGAAAGGACGTGGTCGCCCCTCGCCTCTGTGTTTATCTGGTCGATGATCACAAGAGAAATATTTTACGAGCACACAGAAGAGTGGTAAGTTAAGGAAGATGATGCCCACGGTGGCGGGATACCCACCCTGGGAAGCTGGCACGGGCTCCAAGGATGCGTGGATTCTATGCAGATCAGCAGCTGCCAGCTGCCAGCGATTTCACGACAGCAAATTAAGAAAACTCGCCAATTGAAACTAGAGTACGACAGGGAGCAATTTATCGGAGGAGAGTGTAATTAAATCAAGTGGGGATTCGGCTCGCGCAGCCCGGCCGGGGATCCCCGCACTCCCCAACGAGGCCGCCAGCCCTTTCTGCAGCAGCTTAATCTGCTGAGGAGGGTGAGTTCACCAAACCCAGAAGCCTCCCTAGGGCCCCTGAAGCAGACAAATAAAACGCAGGTCAATAAAGTGACCACAGCCCCTTGCTCCTGGGGGCAGGCCCAGGCCCGCCATCTCCAGACAACGGGCCTGGGCACAAACAGCATGTTCCAGCAGGAAAAAACACCCCTCCACCTGGGCTGGGGTGACCCCAACGCCGCGGTGGTGTCTGGGACGGCAGCCATGGTGAATACACAGGAGCCAGAGGGGGTGGTCTCCGGGGGACCACCTGAGACCCGCCACAAGGAACAAGGAACATGATGAGGTGAACACCTCATCATGGAGGTGGTCACGTGCCTGCCCACACAGCCCCCCCGGGCTCAGAGCCCCTGTATGGCCGAGTCCAAGGTCACTGTCCGGGAAGCCCAGAAGACTCCCATGTCTCTGAGCCTTGGTTCACTTGGAACCAGTGAAACAAGGCTACAAATCCATGAAGTGATGCCCATGGAGAACCTAGCACGGTGCCTGCGCTCACCCTTCGGAGGACCCTGGGGGGTGCCTGGTTGCCTGGAACCTCCCAAGGGAATCTGCAACGCCCTCTCCCCGCAACAGCACCATCCGAGCCTGTGAACGCCGGCAGTGGCCGCTCACAGGACGCGCTGGTCCACTGGCCATCCATCCCTGTGCCCTCTGCTCCATCTATTCTGCACTGGGGGTGACTTCACACCCCCCACCCCCCACCAACCCAGGGACAGCAGCTGTGTCTGGAGACACGTTTGGCTGTCATGACTTGGAGGGTGTGGCTGGCATCCAGTAGGTAGAAGCCAGGGACGCTGCTCAACACTCTGCAACCCCAGAGGGCCCTGTGTCAACAGCGCCGGGCGGAGAAACCCCAGGCCTGAGAGCCCGGGTCTGAGAAATGACTCACCACTGCTGACACCAGCAGGAGGCCTCCCACCCTAGTCAGCCACACGCCCCTATGGCCGAACCCGTCTCATCTACACGTCACCCCCGCGGCTCCCAGCTCCTCCCTGGACGCCAGATCGTGGGCCCTCAGGAGACCCCTGCCCTCCAGGCCACAAATCGCCTCATTAAGAATAAAGTTAATGTGAGCCCATGCGGTACACCCACCGGGCCTGGCTCTGTGCCAGGTGCTACCGTGGGCCCAGGGAGGCTATCCAGTAGGGTCTGTGTGCCCCCAAGCCCAGCCTCCCCTGCCTGGCCCGACCCCCCCAGGTCCCCAGGACTGGGACCTCAGATTTAGTTTTCTGGTGGGACAGGAAAGCAGTGAAGTTTCTGAGCAGAGCTCTGCGCCAGGCCCGGTTGGAGTGGCGAGCAGGCCACGGGTGGTCTCTGCCCTCCAGGCCTTCCAGCAGCACAGACTCAGAGTGGGCAGGGCTCGGCGGGCGGAGAGTGGAGGGTGGGGACATGGGCCCCGGGCCCTCACCATCTGCCCCACGCAGACGCTGGCCGCCTCCATCATGGCGCCGTCGGCGATGGAGCGCGCCGACTCCTTCTCAATGTGCGGGTTCCCCGACAGCAGCTCCTCTACCACCTGCCGGGCGGGGCAGACACACCGTGAGCTCGGGCCTCAGGCCAGGCCGCTGAGCGCGGTGTGTGGGGGGCGCCGGGGCCCGCCGGGTGGGCGCGGGAGCATACTTTACATTTCGATACTCTTCCAGGGTGATGCGGCCGTCGCTGTCCGAGTCGTACATGTGGAACAGAACTGGGGGCGGCGGGGAGAGAGAATGAGTCAGGCGAGGATGAGAAGGGAGCCCTGGGTTCCCCGCTCCCCCAACCTCCCCCTCCCTCAAACTGAGCAAAGCACCCCCAGCAATGCAACCCGAATGCCAAAGCCGTAGGGGGCAAGGGCAAAGGGCGTGGGGCCAGACGGACCACTTCTGGTGGGTGACCTTGGGCAAGCGACCTCACTTCTCTGAGCCTCAGCTTTCCCATCTGTAAAATGGGAGTCACTACACCTCTGCCTCTGTGGTGGTGTCAGGTGAGCCAAGGCCGGCGGATCACGCGACAGTCTCATCAAGAGGAAGTCAGCTCAGCGTGACTTCAAGGTGTCACTCCTGACAGACCCAAGAAGGTGGCTGCCATCCTGGGCTTGGGGCAGGTCATGGACCCCGCTGCTTCCCTCCCGCCCTGGCTGATCCAAGCTGGCCCCCGAGGGGCATTCACACCTGTTCGGCTTGCTTCTGTCTCAGTGAGGTCACCTGGTCCCTTTACTGACATGACTCAGCAGCCTGCATCCCAGCAGAGCCAGGAGCTGAAGCGGGGGTGACCTCTCTACCCCTGGCTCAGCCTCAGGGAGCCTCAAGCTCATGAAGGCCTCGGTCCTGACATTTACCCTGCCTGGCGCTCTGCAAACATCTCTGCCCCTCATCCTCACACGACCCTGCCCCGAGCCCGTGTCACAGACAGGGCTGAAAAGCTCAGAGAAGCGAAGGCATTTGCCCACAGCTGCCCTATTAACGGTGGCTTCCTTGGTGGCTCAGACGGTAAAGAATCCGCCTGCCATGCAGGAGACCTGGGTTCGATCCTTGGGTTGGGAAGATCCCCTGGAGAAAGGAAGGGCCTACCCACTCCAGTATTCTTGCCTGGAGAATTTCATGGACAGAGGAGCCTGGCGGGCTATAGTCCATGGGGTTGCAAAGAGTTGGGACACGACTGAGTGATTTTCACTTCACTTCATTAACAGAGGGGCAGCCAGGGGTTTGAACCAGAGTCTGTCCCATCCCGAAGGCCCCATGACCCCTGACCTGGCCCTTGGAACCATCTGGAAGCTGGGCTGACACCAGGCGCCATCCCCCAGCCCCCAGCAGTCCTCAGGACACATCCTGAGCTAAGTATAGCCCGGGCCCTGTTTATATTTCCCTGCAGACGCTGCTGCCTTGGGGGCAGGGTGCAGAAGGATGCTGGAGTCCTGGGAAAGTGCACAGGGAGGGAGGGGTGCTGCCCGCCCTAAACTCAGACCCAGGGCCGGAGAGGCCCCGAGGGTGGGGGGCATGGGCCCGCGGAGGCCGTCCCGTGAAGCTGAGTCTGGTGGCGGGCTGTGGACCAGGGCAAGGGATGAAAGCACCCATGAGGTCTCATCCAGCCTCAGAACCACGCACGTGTCCAGCCCTTGTTCCCAGCGTCAGGTTCAAGGTCAACAGCTGCTTGGTGGAAGGGCTGGATTGAACCAGGTCTGTCCAAACCAATTTCCCATCACCGACAGACCCTTCTATTTCCAGAAAATCACCAGCTGCTGAGGAGTGTCAACAAGGAGGCTGTCTCAGAGCAGCCTAGGAGAGGGAGCACCCTCTATGCTGTGAAACGCCCCTCCCCAAGACCCAGAGTTGGGGCTCCCTGACCCTCTCCACCCCCCGCAGGGGCACAGCAGGCCTCGGGGACACCCACATCTCAGCTTCTCTTTCCGGCACAGCTGCACCTGCTCCTCATCCATGGTGGTGTCAATGGGCCGGAAGTAGGACATGATGGTCAGAAAGTCCTCGAAGTTGATCTCGTCAGCCAGGCCACTGGATCCCTTGCGCAGGTTCCTGCGGGAGCAACGAAGGGGTGTCGGAAATTCATTCAAAACAGAACCTCATCTCAGTGCCACCCACAGCCCCAGAGAACCCGGCCCCTCCAGGCACTCGCTTCACCTACAGTGGCTATCCCAGCCTTGGGTTCTGCTACTCAGCGACCAGCTCGTGGGGGTACCGGGGCCCCCCTAGGGGTTAGTCCAGCCCTGTGCTGCACTCCTCCACCCAGAAACCACCATCTGGGGGCCTGGGGCAGACACAGGCAGCTGCACCTCTGCTGGGGCAGGGGGCTGCCAGGCATGCACGGGGGACAGAGGTGGGCGGTAATCCACCAGGTACGTCTCCTGACCCTTCCCTTTAGATTGAAAGGGTCAGGGGGTCACAAACTGCAGCCCAGGGGCCAAACCCTGCCTGCCTCCTGCTTTTTTATAGCCCATGAGCTAAGAAGGGTTTGTATGTTTTGATATGGGTGAAAAAAAAATGTTAAGGGGGATAAAAAAGAATAGCATCACATGAGAAGTGAAAATTACATGAAATTCAAATCTGAGCGTCTAGAAATAAAGTTTTATTGGCACACGGCCACGCCTGCTCATTTACATGGTATCCGAGGCTGCTTTCAGGCTACAAAGGCAGAGCTGAACAGTTGCAACAGAGACGATGTGGCCTGCGAAGCCTAAAATATTTACTCTCTGGCCTTTTAGAGAAAGTTTGCCAGTTCCTGCTCTCTGTCAGCCGTCTGAAACTCGGGCACAGTGATCTGTGGGCAGGCAGTTCTGAGTAATCCGTTTCCTACCAAAGTGTGAAGTGCACCAATGAACTGCAGCTTTTCGAACAGATGAGGGCAGGTTTGAGATGTCCCTGCGGATGTGCTTTTCCAAAGGGATGGGAAAGGGCTTGAGTTCCAGGCGGGAGCGAACCCAAGGCTGGGTCCGTCTCCTGCCGAGCACACTGCAGGTACCCAGCAAATGCATGCGAGGGCACTGACAAGCCACCAAGTGCAGGTCCTGGCAGAGGGGTTGGGAAAGAGTCAGCCTGGAGCCGACTCCAACCAAACACGGGCTCCTGACCCACCGCTGCCCTACTCTCACCGCTGATCGACTTCTACTGGGGCAGGTCGCCATCTGTCTGATGGTCCCCCTACCCTCCCTGTGCCTCCTTGCAAAGGGACAGTTCTCAGCTGGCCTGGGATGATGGTGCTTCTCAAATGCACTTGGGTGCCTCCTGGGGTCAGGACCACATCTCAGCTTAAAGAAACACGTTCAAGGTTCTCTCTCCAGGGGCCTATCTGTTGTGGTTTTGTTGCTACTTGTATCTGACTCTCTGTGATCCCCACAGACTATAGCTCGCCAGGTTCTTCTTCCCATGGGATTTCCCAGGCAAGAATACTGGAGTGGGTTGCCATTTCCTTCTCCAGGGGATCTTCCCATCCTGGGGATGGAACCTGCATCTCCTGCATTGGAAGACAGGTTATTTACCGCTGCGCCACTGGGGAAGCATTGGCCCAGTTGCTCCCTTTCAACTCCTGCCCCTGCAGCGTGCACCACACTCCACAGTTTAGAGATCTCACTATCCCCAAGCTTCCATTCCAGGAGATTTTCCAGAAAGAAGTGGCTCCCGAGCCTGGATCATGAAAGGTGGATTGTGAAACAACAAACTGGAGAGACGAGAGGGGATCTCCCCAGGACTCAGTAAGCCTAGGCTTTGAGTGTGTGCAGTTTTTTTTTTTTAATTTCAATTTTCTCTGAAATCATCTCTTACAAAGGTTTCCCACTGTTCCTCTAGACAGATTTTTAATAACCTTAGAGTTCCTGCTGTCAGGGGCATAGACCAGACTTACAAGGTGTAAAAACAGCCCCAGGAGTCATCAGGCTCCTAGGAGGCATGGTTCAGTGGGTTAGTTTACACCTCCTTCTCAGGGGGTTCCGGCTGCAGGGAGAGGGATGGAGATGAGCTCCGGGACATGTAATGGGCCCCGGGGCAGGCAGGCCATGTGTGTCTCTTCTCAGGGAAGGCTGTGACCTGGCTGCTTCGGCATCAGGACCCAGTTCAGGGGCAGGGGGTTCCTTCCCATCCTAATGTCCCCGGGAGGTCCATGTGGGCCAGCATCCTGGTCTCTCAAGGCGACCAGAGGGCAGAGGCTGAGGAAACCCAGACACAGCCCCTGGAGCCAGGCCGACCTGTACTCCACTCCAGTTTCCACAGTGGGGCACCCCCAAGGCTAGGGTCAGTGGATAGAAGAATGGGTGTGTGCGCTAAGTCGCTTCAGTTGTGTCCCACTCTATGAGACCCTATAGACTGTAGCCCACCATGCTCCTCTGTCCATGGGATTCTCTAGGCAAGAATACTGGAGCCGGTTGCCATACCCTCCTCCAGGGGATCTTCCCAACCTAGGGAACCTAACTTACGTCTCCCAAGTCACCTGCATTGGCAGGCGGGTTCTTTACCACTAGTGCCACCTGGGAAACCCTAAAAGAATGGGGGCTACATCCAAATCCGCAGCCCTGCATCACAGCACTCTTTTTGCAAGAAAGCCCGATTGAGTGCAGTATTTTCACTTCCTTAACTCTCCAATGACTCTGAGGACCAGAGCCCATGGAGGTGGGGACAGACCTGGCTCAAACTGCCTTCCAGCCAGCTTTCTGCTTCACTGTCTTGTTCCCAAAACGTCTTAGGATGCAAGGCAGACGCTGGTACTTTTTGAAAGGAAAATCCCGCCTCCAGCCTGTCCTCTGACTCCTCCTGCACTCCTTGGCAGAGCTTATAGGACAGAAATGTAAAGGACGCACAGGCACTGAGCTGCTCCAGGTCCTGGCTGGGGAAGCCTTTCTTCAATCCTCTTCTTGGTGACCTCTGGGCAGTCCACCAACTCACAAGGGGCCTCCCTTTCTCCAGACCGTGTCTCTAAGCAGGTGCCCAAGGCTGAGGTCCCAGAACCCACGGGGGGATGGGGGTGGGAGTGGGCTCTCACCTCCCGCTATGGGCCACTGTCCTCCCTGTCTCCTGCTCACCATCCTGCATTGTCTTCTGATGGTCATTCCCTAGAGCAGGTGTNGAACCCACGGGGGGATGGGGGTGGGAGTGGGCTCTCACCTCCCGCTATGGGCCACTGTCCTCCCTGTCTCCTGCTCACCATCCTGCATTGTCTTCTGATGGTCATTCCCTAGAGCAGGTGTCTCGTGAGCCGCCCGCACTGCAGGCTTAGGGACCCCTCGACTCCCTCTCTATCATATCTGATCCTCTTCTCTCCTAGGACAGCCTGGTCCAGCCTCCACCATCCCAATGAGCAGAGGCCAGAAGGAGCTCTGCAAAAAGCAAGTCAGAGACTTCCCTGGTGGTCCAGTGGCTAAGACTCTGCACTCCCAGTGCACGGGGCCCGGGTTCCCTCCCAGGTCAGGGAACTAGATCCCACATGCTGCAACTAAGACCCAATGCAACCAAATAAATAAATATTTTAAAAAAGCATATGTCTGTCACTCCCTTGCTCAATGCTCTCTGGAAGCTTCTCCAGCTCTTGGGGTGACTCCCCCCACCACAAGCCTCCCCCTGGTCTCCCAGGTCTCAGCCCAGCCCCTGACCCCATTTCCCACCACACACCCCTCATTAGGGGCCTGAAAGCCTGTTTCAACGTCCACCTTGCAGACACTCAACACTCCTTGACTGACTGAGGGCCTCCCTCCATCCCTCGGGAGGCACCTGCCTGCGCCCGCGCTCAGGGCTCTGTCCTAACGTTGGGCACTCCAAGCAAGGCGGGTGTCTCTCCCGCCTCTGGCTGTGGATTCAGGGCCGTGCCTGCCTGTCCTCTGGCTGGAGGGAGGTTTCCACTCCAGCTCCTGCCCAGGCCCAGTCCTCTCGGCATTCAGCGTATCAGTCCCAGAGAGCAGCCTGTTCCACACCCAAGTTCCACCCTCACCTGAAAGCACAACTCCTGGAGCCTGTTCCCAGTTCCCCAGGGGACAGCGGAGGGCCAAGTGACCTCCGGCCAGCCTTGCTTTAAGAAACAGCTTCCCCGGTGGCTCAGATGGTAAAGAATCCACCTGCAATGTGGGAGACCTGGGTTCAGTTCCTGGGTTGGGAAGATTTGGAGAATGAAATGGCAACCCACTCCAGTATCCCTGCCTGGATAATCCCATGGACAGAGGAGCCTGGGGGGCAGCGGGGGAAGGTGGGTAAACTCTGGTCACCCCTCACCATCTTCCTCTGACACCTCCAGCCCTAGACCCCAAGGGCCATGTTGTCTCCATGTTGGGGGCCACATCACCTGCACCCCCACTCCACCGCCCATCAGCAACGCCCCCCAATCCTATCCTGCTCATTGCCCACCCACCCAGGCCTCACCCTGGGATTCCGCCGGCAGAATCAGGGTTAAAAAGAAGGTGGGGGTGCTGAATTCTACTCCTATCTTTACCACTGACCACGTGACTTCAAACCCTCCTTCTCTGAAGGGACCGAGTGACAATTTGCTGGGGGTGATTCCTCAGGTACCAGCTCCCTCACTTTCCTCTGCCCTCTGTCACCCCCTCCCAGGTATCTCAAAGCCACCCATTGCCATCCCTCTGCACTCAGGAGTCCCGGCTCCAGCCCAAGGGACCCTGGCCTCAGTCCCCGACAACCCACTGGCAGCCAGAGTGACCACGGCAAGATGCCAACCTGCTTCACGCTCCACACACTCCCCTTAAAGCGTATCTTTGCCCCCAACCCCTGATGCTGCTCCTGGGTTGAAGTCAAGACCCCTCTTGCTGGCCTAGGGTCTGCACGATGCACTCTGCCCACCCCACACCCCTCACCATGCTCCGCCTGTGTTCCAGCTGAGTCCCCTGTCACTCGTATGCCTGGACTTTATGCCACAGGGCCTTTGCACATGCAGTTTTGGTCTCTCTCTGCTTTGCCTGGCTAACTCCTGGGCACTTTCTCCTCAGGTCTCACCCCACAGGCCCTGGAGGAAGGTTGCTGTATTTTTCGGGGCAGCCTGAGGACTTCCCAGCCCCCCTTGTGAACAGTGAGGTCCCACTTCTGGCTCAGGGCCTCACAGTCCTGGCAGGACTGAGCTAGGCGGTTCAGGCTTGCACGACTTGAAGCCCGTCCAGGGAGACCCCACCTACCACATGATCTCAACACGCCAGTTCCCTTCCTTCGTCTTTAGCCCGCTCCCCTGCTCCTCAGCGACCTCTGCAGACACAGGGTGTCAGGCCTGGGACCAGGGTGTTTGTCCGCAGGCTCTGGCAGCCTGCTGAGGGCATGCCCGCCCCCCATGTCCATCCCCTAGCTCTTCACTAAGCCTCAGACACGGTGATGTCCCTCCTGATCCATGAGTCTTTCAACTCTGACGACCCTGGACATTTGAGGACATGAGCTCTGGCCTTAGCCTCAGCTTTGGGACACTGTCCATGGTGCTTCTCTCTGCCTCAGTTTCTCCATCTGTAAGCCAGGGCACTGAGCATACTCTGGCTCTTCAACACACATCATCTCAGCACAGCCTCACAGCAACACCACAAGGCAGGTGCTATTATTACCGTCATTCTATCTATAAGGAAAGTGAGCCTGCCTCCAGGTATCCATGCCCCATGAGGTCCAGACTCCAAGTGCGGGGAGACCCAGGGACTCACTTCTGACGAAAACAATATAGAAAAGGTGATGGAATGTTATCTGCAAGATGAAGTTACCAATGGATGGTGTTTTCCATTTCAAGTGCCCAGTCTCTCTCTCCTCCCTCCCTCTCTTACTGGAACGTCTTACTCTGAGGGAAGCCAGCTGCCAGGTGTGGTAGCTCTGGGGATTGGTTCATGAGCTGCCAACATCCAGGTGGGTGAGCTCAGAAGCAGAGTCTCCCCCAGGCATGCCTTCAGGTCACTGCAGCCCCAGTTGACCCTCCCTGAGCCAGAGAACCCAAATCCCTGATCCATAGAAATGGTGAGCTAATAAATATGTATTGTCTTAAACTGTTAAGTTTGGGAGGGGGTAACTTGTTACACAGCCATAGCTAACTAATACAGAGGCCGAGAGAGATTGAATGAGCTGTCCCAAGTCACCTAGCCATGAATCCAGAACTGCTAGACCTCTGACCCATGCTCACAACTCCTACCCATCACATGCCTTTTGAGCACACAAGTTATGACAGAGGTCACAAAGACAAAACACTCCCCACAAAGTCACCCACCATCAGCATTCCAGGAGAAGGGCCCACCTGTTGTCGAAGAAGGCACGGACGATTTTGGACCGGATTGGGTTGAGCTCCAGGTCAGGGACATTGTTGAAGTTCTCCTTCCTGGGTTTCCAAGGAGGAGGCACACCGGCAAATGAAGGAGAAAAGAATGATGTCAGAGAGCATGTTCATCACTCCTCACGTTGTGTTTTTCACCCTGAGCAGGCCCTACGAGAACGGTCCAGAATTCATGAGTCAGGACTGGAATATGCTGCACTGGTACATCTCCTCCTCTAACCCTTGGACCAGTGGGACCACAGAGGGCCTGGAGGCACAGAGACGCCTTTGGGAATCTGATAGATGTCCTGGACCTCCACCCTGCTGATCCCCCAGAAAGACGCAGTGACACAAGACCTGCATCTCATTCTGAGCAGTCAGATACCCCAGGTAGGGAAACCCTGAGTTAGCTGTCCTGGAATCAGAGCAGCAACCTGCTTGCTTGGAGATTTCAAAAACAGTGTCCACAGCAGGTTAAAAACCTGGAGTTATCACATGACCCAGTGATTCCACTGCTAGGTATATACCTGGATATGTCCCCAGAGAAATGAAAACATTCATCCACATAGAAATTTGCCCATGAAAAGTGATAGAAGTGGGCTTCCTGGGTAGTTCAGCTGGTAAAGAATGTCTGCAATGCAGAAGACCTGGGTTCAATCCCTGGGTTGGGAAGATCCCATGGAGGAGAGCATGGCAACCCATGCCAGTATTCTTGCCTGGAGAATACCCATGGACAGAGAAGCCTGGTGGGCTACAGTCCATAGGGTCACAAAGAGTCAGACACGACTGAACGGCTAAGCACATTCAGCCATTAAAAGGAATGAAATACAGACAACAGGCTACAATACAGATGGACCATACAGACACGGTGCTAAGTGAAATAAGCTGGGTCACACAGTGTATGATTTCATTTATATGAAAAGTCCAGAATAAATCAATCCATAGAGACAGAAAGGATATTAGTGGTTGCCAGAGGCTGGGGAATTGGGAGCCACGCTGGGGAATGGTACTGAGGGTATGAGGACTCTTTAGGGGGTGATGAAAACGTTGTCAAACTGACTGTGGTGATAGATACAGTACTCTGGAAGCATACTAAAAGCCATTGCATTGCACGTTTTAATGGGTGAATCATAGGATATGCAAATTCTATTTCAGTAAAGCTGTTTAAAGGGAGAGAAATGTTCATATGAGATGGTGAATTTTAAACACAGCCACCCTGTGGCTGGGGCCAGGTGTCGCTGGGTCCCAGAGGCTGTGAGTTTGCAGGTGTGAAGTCAGGTAAGTCCCCACCTGACTAACCTTCCCACATAAGGCTGTCCTTTGTTCTCAGACCTGCTTCCTGCTTGCCTTTTCTTCTGCTCTGGATTTCAACAGGCAGTGGCCTTGGAAGGGACCCAGGACACATGCTGGTAATCCCGGGGAATAAGGAGGCAGACCCAGCTTGGGGAAGCTGGGAGGATATTAGCCACTTAAAAGGAGAATGTCCAGGGGTCCTCAGATTTAGAACTTGAAGTTAGAACCAACCCACACTGGGAAGGAGAAGTGCCATATACAAGGAGCATTCCGCATCATCAGAGCTGGAAGGTTCTGTAAACACAGCTGAGCCCTGTCCTGCCCCCATCAAACAGGTGGGGAGGCTGAGGCTCAGACAGGAGAAGCAGGACCTACCCGGGGCCCAGACGCCTCCGTGTTCTCTCCTTCTCCAAGCTGTCTCCCACCTCTTCCCACCACTCAGCACTCCTAGCTTCATTAGCTTGCAGCATCTGACCAAACTCAGGAGCCAGCATCAATGGATGCCAACATTTCAGATTCCTGAGGGCCCAGTTCTGAAGGCAACCCACTCAGAGCAGCTGGCCCACAGCAATGGAATATTATTCAGCCATAAAAAGGACTGCAGTGATGACCCATGCTACAACAGAGATGAACTTTGAGAGCAAGATGCTAAGTGAAAGCAGCCAGACACAAAAGGCCACACAGTGTATGATTCTACGTATGAATATATGAGATGTCCAGAATAAGCAAATCCAAAGAGACAGAAAGCAGACTGGTGGGTGCCAGGGACTGGGGGACAGTTGACAGCTAGGAGTTGACACAGGGTTTCTCTTGGTAGTGATGAAAATGTTCTTTTATGGACTGTAGACTTTAAGTGGATGAATTGTGTAACATGTGAATTGTATCTCAATCAGGCTGTTTTAAGGGCTTCCCAGGGGGCTCAGTGGTTGAAGAATCTGCCTGCAATGCAGGAGGCACAGGTTCAATCCCTGGGTCAGGAAGACCACTCCCCCATCCCAGAGGAGGGCATGGCAACCCACTCCAGTATTCTTGCCTGGGAAACCCCATGGACAGAGGAGCCTGGCGGGTTGCAGTCCATGGGGCTGCAGATCAGACACGACTGAGCACAAGCATGAGCAAGCCTGTTTTAAAACATCCCTAAAATATGTTTTAAAAACTAGAAAGCAAAGAACCACTGCACCACGGCTTCATCAATGCAGAGCTCAATAAGTGAGGCGCCAACCTGTGCAGCTCAGAGTCAGGTCCACGGCCAGCTACCTCCAGGGCTGGTCCCTAGGAGACAGCATGAGGCCTGGGGCCAAGGATGCTCGGCCCTTGCTCTGGGCTTGGGGTCACGGGTGTGTTTCAGCTTGTGAAAGATCGTCTCACTGTCCCCGTCACGGCTCATCACACACCTGGCAGTCCGCACTGCTCTGGCACGGCACCGGTGAGTGAGATGCAGTGACAGGAGGAAACGTAGGGAAACCCAGAGCCCCCGGGATGGGAACAGCTCAAGTCAAAGGGACTATGTGGAGTGTGAGAGGGGAGGTGGGGAGAAAGGAGAGGAAGCCAGCAGCTGCAGCGTGGCCAGTTAGCACGAGACCCCAGGCCCTCTCTAACCTTTCTTGGCCAGTCTTGGTGACTGTCAACCCCTCCTCAGCCTCAGCTCCTCATCTACGAAGTGGGCGCAGCCTCTGAATCACATCGGGGTTCTACCAGCTCTGCCCCCTGGGACAGCGACTTGGCTTCTCTGAGGCTCGGGCTTGCTCCTCTGCGAAAACCCAGAGCCCCCGGGATGGGAACAGCTCAAGTCAAAGGGACTATGTGGAGTGTGAGAGGGGACGTGGGGAGAAAGGAGAGGAAGCCAGCAGCTGCGGCGTGGCCAGTTAGCACGAGACCCCAGGCCCTCTCTAACCTTTCTTGGCCGGTCCTGGTGACTGTCAACCCCTCCTCAGCCTCAGCTCCTCATCTACGACGTGGGCGCAGCCTCTGAATCACATCGGGGTTCTACCAGCTCTGCCCCCTGGGACAGCGACTTGGCTTCTCTGAGGCTCGGGCTTGCTCCTCTGCGCACAGGAGCCTCAGAGGTTTGTGGTGAGCATGCTTGGGAGGAAGTCTGGAACACAGCACGCACGGTGTCCTGTGAGGAGCGAGGGCTCCACGGGTGGAGGCTTTCAGGTGCCCGAGAGCATGGGGACGGGGCTCGCATTTCCACAGCACCACATCCTCAAGGCCTCAAGCAACCGGAGGCAAGGGCACGTCTGGAGCATGCACAGCTGGACGGAAGGGAGGGTCGGTGTGGGCGGGGCATTGTGTGTGGGCGGGGCATTGGCCCCAGGCCCCGCCCCTTCCTCCAGCGTCCTCGCTCTTCAGCGTCCCGAGGCACTCGGGTTCGCAGATCCTCGCAGAGCATCACAACCCTGCTCTGCCCTGCGGAGCCCAGGTAGGGGCTCTCAGTGGAGCTTTGTCCGGGGCTGCTGGAAGGACCGCATTCAGGGATACACCGGGGAAGTGGTTCTGGCTGTGTCCCCAGGAGGGAACAGAGGCCAAAACAGAGGATGCTGCAGGTTCTAAAGGGACTGGGAGAAAACAGGTCCGCGTGCTTGTTAAGGTGGCAAGGAGGGACACACCAGCAGCGCCCCTGGCACCAGGAGATCCCACAAAGGTGGCGGGGCCCTGGGCTGCCATGGGAGGGCAGTGTCTCAGGAGGAGGACAGAGGCAGGAGGACCTCGAAGAACCCGACTGAATGTCTAGAGAAGAAAACTAACAACCGAAGAGAGGTCTGGCCTCCCACTGACAAGAGGGGAGGCAGATGCTAGGAAGCTAGCTGGGGACACAGTGTCGCTGGGTCCTGGCCTCACAGACCCTGGCAGGTCTGTGCAGGTGTCTTTGAATCCTAGCTGCCTTTCTCTGTAAGCCAGAACCACTCTCCCTCACCATGGGCACCTTACTGACGCTCCCAGCCTCAGTTTCCTCATTTGTGAACTGGGTACAGACCAAGCAGCACCCCCTCACACACACATATATCAAAGCAGAAGTGAAGTTAACCACACCTGGGGCCAGTCCAGGCTCTGCCCCTGACCAGGTACATGCCCTGGTTGAGGCACTGCAGATCCAAGAGTCTTAATTTCTCATTTATAAAATGGGGATCATGGACATGTCCAGGCAGCATCATGGGGTTAATGAGATGATTAGGTGAGATAAACACACGTAAGGTGCTATTGGGCTCCCCAGGTGAGACTAGTGGTAAAGAACCTGCCTGCCAATGCAGGAGACATAAGAGATGGGGGTTCGATCCCTGAGTTGAGAAGATCCTGGGGAGGAGGGTATGGCAACCCACTCCAGTATTGCTGCCTGGAGAATCCCATGAACAGAGGAGCCTGGTGGGTTAGAGACCATGGGGTCGCAGAGTTGGACATGACTAAAGCAATTTAACACACGTACACAAGGTGCTATAGCATAACATGACATGTAGTGAGTTCATTTTAAAACAATGATGGTGATAATAGCAGCAGCTAACCTACAGACACCCCAGGTGTCAGGTACTGTTGAGAGTTTTACATTATGAAAGTAGGAACATATTCCCACCTTAAAGATGAGGAAACAAAGACAGAGAAGTGAAGAAACATCTTATTGCTGAGAACAATGCCCTGACTTAGAATATGGATGCCCAGCCCTGGAGCAACTTCTCCTGAGTTCTCTCTGGTCCTGGGGAGGCTGTGAGCAATTCTGGGCTATCTGCCAACCTCCTTCTTCAACAAGTTGAGTTGCAGGCCTTGAACCCAGAGGCAGG